ATCCCGCCCTTAAATCAACACCTCCTCTCCTTATTTACCGCTAGCCTCAGGCAATGGAATAACACATGGTTGAGTTTGTTTTTTCAATTACAAAAAATATGAATTATCTCTGGACTTTTATCCTTCAGCTGGTGAGATCACCATAGAAGAAGAGCGCAGTGAAACTCCATCCAACCACTGAGCCGTGGTTACAAGAACTGGACTCACATTTGTTTTGACCAAAACCTCCAACCTGGCAGGATGAGCTGTTACCATATCTCTGTTGAATAAACATAAGTTCTTCTTCTCTTGAAATTAGTCAGTTTGAGCCTCAACAATCCAGAAGCAAACATGACAAATAACTGCAGACAGAGTGCAGGTGGGATGAGTCTGCCAACAACTATGACTGTTTAACCAAAAAAGCCTGATGTTTAGAAAGTCTCCAACTGGTGGTTGGCGACTGGACAAAGTGACAGCTGGAGGAGCTGAACTTAAACAGTCTTCACTTGTCAGACTTTAGGAAATGGCTGGAGGACATTTGCCAGTCTAGTGTGTGTGTTATGATGTGCAGTGGACACTCTGTGACTGTGGACCGAGGCCAGTCTCTCTCTGAAGGGTAATTGTTGTCTTGTTAGAAGAAAAACCAGAAAGAACACAGGCAGGCAGGCAAAAATTAAACGACTGCGAAAAAAACAGAAGAAAAAGCCAAAAAGAAAAAAGAGACAGATTCCCAGAAGAAGGAAGGGCAAAAAGAAGGACTAAGAGCTCTTCAAAACCAACTCAGGTTTGGAGAGATGCCGGCTAAAATCAACTTCCTGTTAGTTGTTAGAGGTTAGTGCTGCTGCTGCTGCAGAGACAAATGAACCGAAGCAGCAGCCTCAGTAGGATCCATGAAAACCTTTGTGAAGCCTCAGTGTTACCACATGTGATTCTGTGAGGGGATTTTCTTTGTGCAAATCCAGTCAGACGTCAGAGGGAGAAAGCAACCCTTAGGTGGAGGTCCAATGGCATGGCTCAAGGACCCTTCAGCAGGAGGAGGAGGAGGGGTGGAGGGGTTTCATCTGAAGGACAGTCTTCAAGGTAACTGCACCTCACTAACAAATATCTTTTCTTTCTGCAGTCTCTATATTTTGATGCTGCTTTCAAACACAAGTTAGATATTTAAATAGTGCATGGTTGATGGGATGGTTTAGTTTTTTTGAAGTGGGGTTGTATGTGCTACTTATCCATAGACAGCACATTACATACAATAGATGTCAGTCTAAGCAATGTACTGCTGTGAAAAGGTTAGCAACAAATTGAATTTTAGCCACCTAAAAAAACAAATATCAGTTTGAATCTATTCTATATTGAGAATATTTTCACTGCTTTACCTTAATGTCATGACAGTGATTTCTGACAGAAAAGCCGTTACATCGCTCTCTTCAAAGCCAGACTCCATTGAGATAAACAGTAATTTAACGTTGCTGAATACAGGAGCTGATCTACCACTGCCTCGTTCAGTTAGTGAGTTTGTCTTATGAGACTTTGGTGTTTAAAAGGGTTAGTCCTGATTCACCAAAGTCTCACATTAACACCAACAACCTAAGTGATCGAAGCAGCAGAAGACCAGCAACTCTCATGTTCAATGAGGTGAAATTACTGTTTTTTAGTCTGGTGGCTCTGGTGTAAGCAGAGATGGGGAACTGAAATCGTCAATGACTTTCCCATTTGAATGGGCTGTCTGACAGAAAGCTAAAGTGGTGAAAATACTCCCAATATAGCGTACACTTAAACTGATATTGATTTCTTTAGGTGGGACTTTTAGAAGGTGGTTAAAATATGTTTTGTTGCTGACCTCCATCCACATTACTTAGCTTCCATGTGGGCCTGCTTCTCCAAACTGGGGGCGTGCCAGCTAAAATCTACTGTTTGTAATACACTGTCCATGGAAAAGTAACTCCACTTAAAAAACGTAACTATCCTTTTAGATACGGAAGACATTATACAAAACACAGGGTTCCTACAAGTTCCATGAAGCCCAACTTTAAAGGCAATTTAAGACCTGAAACTATCGAAATTAATTTTCTCTTTGCATGGTTACCCCTAAATGAGTTTAAATCCTTTTTTTTTTTTTTTTTTAACAATTTGTCATTCATCTTCCAGAACAGATTACTTTGGGATATTCAGCATGTCAGGAGCATGATGTTTCTCATGTATAGAGAAAAATGGTTGGTTGATGCATGGTACCAAAATTACAAACTTACTGTCTCCTAAAAACTAGTTATAGAAAGAATTGTACGTAGGGTAGTTCAAACAAAAGACAAAGATCCTTGTGTACAGTTACACTCAGGAACATTACCATCAGCGGTATACCATACAAAATTAACACGCGTACACAGTCTATTTAAACATGGGAAAATGAGCTAAACTTAGGCTATGGACTCCTTTTCTATTGCCAATAGATAGAGCCATGTACACAGCTCTGCAGCAGATGAGTACCTCTTTCTGTATTTTGTTTCTTTACTTGTGTGTCACGTTCAACGTCACAGATAGGCCAGAAAACAGGTTACTAAACAGTATAAAGCAGCCTGGAGGTCTGTGAAAATGTTGTGGTCACTTCTTTTTTATATCTCTTACTTATTCAGCCTCTCTTTCAAACTTGTTGACAACTAATTAAGAATGATGCTTGAGCACTGCTTGGGCAGAGACGGGCTGTATTCTGTGGTGGTGCGTTACTGAATTTGCTTGTTCACACAGGTGTTGTATTTTGATCACTACAGTTGGGAGCCAATCTGAGCCAATATATATACCCGCGACTACTGCAGAGTCATTTGACCCAGGTGTTACTGCCGATTGTAACCTTTCCCATTACATATAAAACACGGATGTTAGTGGGTTTTAGTGGGTTTTTTGTGCACTGAGAAAGGGGCATTTGAGACCAGTAGGTTTAATGCCATTCCAGAGGAAGACAGACTTTGTTGTGTGAGAAAGGTAAACTTGAAAATAAGGTTCATTTTTTTATTTTACAGTCTTACCTATGAAGACATACTGAACGTATTTTTTAGTAAAATGGCTTCCATGAATTTTGATTTATTTTCCTTGGATGACCACGAAAAACTTGAGTTATGTTTTTTAGAAAAGGAACCTTTTTTGTGTCAGACCTTGTTTGCCGGGTCTGGGATAGAAGGCAAAGTATTTTGTTTGTGGACTGAGCATTAAGATAACATATATTTAGGACTGATCACTACAACACTGATGTAATGGTGTCTTTAAAACCCACGAGGGTTGGGCACACGTTTGTGTGCATGATCTAGGTCCACTTAGAAGCTTTTTTTCTGAGTTTTCAATCATATCTCACAATCCTTTATCAGCAAATGGAAGTAGCTCTGATGTCAACAAGTGATACAAATATGTGGGTGGGAGACTGTCACCCTGTTTCTGATCTGAAGACAATTTGGGGACTAAAAATAAAATAAAAATATATAAATACTAGAGATGGGCATGAGTACTCTATTGCTCATTTGAAGGTCAGTATTCGTTAAACGTGATTACTTGCCACCATCTCTTCCACATCGTAACACAACTTACATATTTCTTTTACTATTTAAAATGGGTAAAATCTTATGTGATTGTAGAAGTGCGTGCAGCTTCGCTCAGCGCCTCCTCGCCCTGCTGTCTCTCTCTCTATCTGTTTATCCTCAGATTCAGCTGCAGGCATGTGAGGTCCACACCAGGGAACAGTCGGTGAGAGTCCGCACGCCCACCCGCCCGCCCACACACATGCACACAGTGACGGTTTTAACAACAGAGTCGAGCTGTTCCAGTGTTGGTGTGACTTCTCTGGGATTGTTACATATCTCAGTGTTTGACATTAGCCAGTGCTGCTGTGCTCACTCGTGCTAACCAGGCATATGTTGAACTAACCTGGAGGAGAGCGGCTCCAGACTCCAGAGACAGTCTTTCAGTGCTGTGTCTAACCAATGTAACAGCAGCAACTGAAAGTTTGCTGATTTTTCTCATAAAACCTTTATGGTTGTTATAAACCCTGGTTGTTCAATTAATGACTGTCAAATTGCACTTCTTTCCGCTGGCCAATTTACATTCCTATTTGTACATCTGACTTTTTTTGCGAGTACTCGAGTACTCTTTAATAATTTAATGCAAGTGCTTGAATATGGAAGTTACTTAAAATGCCCATCCCTAATAAAGATAGTGAGGAAAATGAGCTAAAAATGTAACTTAGAAGGAAACTTTTCTGATTCTTAACCCTCGCTGTTTCGCAGGGTGGGCGGAATGTGCATCAATGACGCGTGTTACGTCACCTGGCAGACCATAGCCGGCAAATGAGCAGGGAACTCCAGGCAATGGTGGTATGGGGGGGAGCGCCAGGCACCGCTTGTCTGCACGCACTAGCCACACTGAGATGTCACAGAGCTGGTGAATATCAGCATATTTCCCTTTTAGGTGCCAATTTACTATTTAAGAGTCAAACAGCCTCTGGGAATCATTTGAAGCATTCAGATTTACAATTGGGTTCAGTAATTTGTTCAGGCAATGTTCTTGTGTGTGTGTGTGTGTGTGTGTGTGTGTGTGAGTGTGTGTGCTTGCTTAGACAAATCAAACTGTGTTTATGAAAGCAGAGAGAATGCAGACTGTACTGCTGATCTGTTCTAGATTCACAGAAGAAATAGTATATGGAGGGTAAAAAAGTTAAGCTATTTTAAGATGTATTTTTAAGCTTTGATTGAGTTTTGGAGGACCTGCAGATACCATTTAAATGTCTTTTTTCACACTCCTGTCTTTGTCTGATCAAATTGTGATGTTTTCATTAACCCCTGATGTTTTGTTTTTTGTCGCTTTCAATATGTAAACCATCCGGGGCTTCACAAAGGCTTTAGAAAGGTTTTTGGAGCAGTGGGAGCAGAGGAGACTCAAACAAGATGCTTTGGAAATAACAAACAGGCATCCCCGCAGACAGCCATGTCTCCATGGAGACAGACAGGAAGGGGGGTGGGAGGGGGGAGGAAATCAGACAGTACCTTCTCCAGCTGGGGTCAGGTGGTGGGGACAAGTAGGCGGAGTTATACGGCGAGCTGTCCACCTGAGGAGACAACTGGTTAAGGAAACGACAACAGATATGGTCCAGTTCATAAAGTTTCACTTTCAGTTTCTACTGAACATGAAGGACTGCGGCTGCTAGTTTCACTATGACTAAACTTCTCACTTTTTTAAATATTTTACATGTTTCCTCTTCCTTTAATGAGTTCTAGTGAAAAATAAGGGGCAGTTAAACAAAGCTCACTTTCATAACAAAAAAAAAAAAAACTGACAAAATACAAATGAACTCTCTTTCTCTGCTTGGAAAGATATAAACACCCTGGTCAACAGTTTTTTTGTGTGTGTCTGTCTTCATAAAAAAACAGTTTTCAGCACTGACTGCACAACTTCACACTTCAAACTGCCTCCAGATCCACTCTTTCACACTTTCTACTGAACAGACCGGGTGTTCAATGCACATGTCCGGTGCGATTTCAGCTCCTTAACTTCTATATTTCCCTTCCTTTACATAAGAATAAAGATAAACCTTATTTATATGGTGCCTTTAATACAAGACATGCAGCACAAAGTGCTTTAAAATAAGGACATTATGAGCACTGAATGCTTCACATGAAAATAGACACAATGGACTTAAAACAGAAAAGGCAATTCAGTATAAAAGGACATTAAAAAACAGTTTAAACAAGGATTAAGTGATTCAATAACTTTCACTTAAAAGTGGTTGTGATTTTAGCGCCTATTAATTGAAATCTCATACAGTATTTCTTGCTGTGTCAACTTTTAACCCTTCCAACATCATTAACAATCAGAGCCTATAATTCCCAACAGGCATAGACTCACTAAGAGACACTGAGTACCGAAATAAGCATCTTTTAGATCAGCCCAGAACGTCTTCTCAAGAGTTAACCTTGGGTATTGTCTATGGGAGTACAGCCCACAGCTGCCCCAGAATCGACCACCCAGTTGTGGCACTGTGGATGAAACAGAACTCACCACAGTCTTTCTCCGTCAAGTCCACCAGACACAACTCACAGCAAAACCAGAAATCTTAAAAACACTGATTCATCATGAGAGGAAATAAATCATGACATGATGTAAAACCATAAATCATAAAAACTATAACATTTTAAAAGAGTTGCAGCAGCGTCAAGTGTTTTAGGAGCCAGTTAAACACTAAAATGAATAGACACATTTTTAGCTTTCTTTTAAAAATATTTAGAGCGCTGGCTTCACTGATATCTATAGATGTGTTCCACAGCTTCTATGTTGTCACTGTTTTTACATGCATGCATTGAGACTACTGATTAAAATCAGACTCACACAGACTCTTGCACATATTTTCCACTTGTGACGTTCCCCCTTGTCTTTCCACCGTACTTTAATAAGTTCAGATATCAGTCAGTAAATCCAAAAACACAACTTTTCTGCCACACTGATCTTGATTGGGTTTTCACATGTAGGCTGAAATCAGGTATGGACAGATTAACATGCTTAAAAACCCCGGGGCAAAACTGAGCTGCTGGGTCCCCAGTTATGTCATACAGTTTTTGTATACAAGAATACTACCTATCAATTATGAATGGCCATAAAACTAAAGATCTAACTCATAACAGGACCTCAAGCTCAGATAACTGAGCAGGTTCCATCTTACAAAGTCAGCTAACATGCTTTGGTTGTGTTCATCTGGGCATTTTAACATTGAGGTCAATGGGGATTCGCTCTGTTTTGGAGCCAGCCTCGAGTGGCCTTTAGAGGAACTGCAAGGAGGAAGTTTTTGGCACTTCCTTGTTGAAAGTTACTGCTTTCAGGTGACTGAGTGCATCAGTTTTTCTGTGCAACTTGCATCTTAAACTCTGCAGTTGCGTCGCTTGTCAATCATAGTATAGTACAGTAGAGTCAAGCCTACATGACGGCCACAAGGACAAAGTTTTTAAAGTTATGTTTACACTGTTAAAATTTGATAGTCACAGAAAAATGATTTTTAAAATAACAACTGACAAGGAAAACCCATTAACAGTAACTTTACATTGCAGTTACACGCACAGTACCCAATATGTGTCTTGCTTAAGGGCATAAACCCTTTCCGTCAGAGTGATAAACATCCTAGGCTGCTGCCTCCTCACATTCTTTTTGATACAGTAAAGTTGAGTCCTGATTTATTTTCAGAGGTTCTTTGGAACAAAAGCATATTGTGTTGTTGCTGCTGTGACCTAAAAACAGACAGGCACTGACGTAAAGCAAATTTCACACGAAATTAAAAAAAACTATCTGTGCATAAAGCGACACAACAGTGCAATGTTTGGCGATTGAGAAGGACCTGATGGGGGAATTCAGACTGTGGAAAAAGATATACAGAGGCTGTTTCACTGTTAAAACCCCAGCTGTTTGTGAATTCACTAAGTTATCTACTTCCTATTAAGTCTTCTTAAATGTTAAATAAAGAAACTTTTGTTGATTATTATTTTTCTTCTACTCTACAAACTCCACGTGCATTTATCTACGAACAAATACTAACTAGACCATTAAATTCGGATCATTCCACCACTGAAAACAGTCCCCAACAAATGCTCTGTTTCCTCCAGTTTGTTTGATAAAAACTACAGTGAGCAGATGTTTTAGGAAATTACTGATGATGCCATATATTTGTGTTTTTAAAGATTTACGGTACGAACCAATGAGCTTTGACCCGAGAGCCACAGACAGGAAGTGAGACAGTACAGAGAGACGAACTAACACGTTGTTGGTTTGAGTCTCTTCTTGACTATAAGAAAAAACATACAATAACTTCAGCCTTATACTTTCACAGCCTGTAGGTTTAGACTCAACAGTAAAGTGAAGGATACTTGTCGGTTGCGGTATGGTCGAACTGGTGAGATGAAACGGCGGTCTCTCTGAACGCGCTCCACCAGACCGTGATGCCGGGTGGACCGGTTGGACTCCAGAGTGGAGGGGAAGGAGCCCTGAGAGAGACAGAAAGAGAAACAGAGGTCAAATAAGGTTTTTTGTATATCATGTGCATTTATTTAACATTTCTAAAGTCAAGGAATGCAAAACAGGAAACGACAACACACAGAGAGATAAATATAACTAACAACTCTTATATCAGAGCTCCCACTCTTTTTAAAGACTCCATTTCCAGGTCATTTTCATAAACCTCCTGTTGTCTTCATTGCAAGTCCGTTATAAAACCATTCACTGTGGTTGAATTTGATTTATATTTTTAAAATAAAAAGCTAGTTTGTTTCAGATGTTTTTTTATTCTAGGGTGTTCAGAGGTTGTAAAACAACTGAACGCAGCTCTTATTCAGCTACCAGCTGCTGCAGGGACGGTGGACAAAGAATCTAGAGGACTTAAAACAGTTCATTCAGCAAACTGGAGCAGGTTACAGCCTAAATATTCTTCCAGAACAAATCACAGTTTTACAGGACATTTAGAGCAATTTTATCATCTTTCAGGACTTTTCATTGACTGGTGTCTGAGGAAAATATCTGAAAACATGACACATTTGGCTTAAATTTGGGGAAGAGACATTTCATTTTGCCCAAAACGTGGCAGAAACACGATATGAATTCCTCAAACTCCCAGTGGAGGTGAGAAGCCAAATCGTACCGCTACCTGCTGCCAAATAAATTTTATCTAGGTCTGACCTTGGACACGGAGGAGGAAGAGGAGGAGAGCCGACAAATGGAGATGGTGATACTGATGAAAAAGCTTCCATTACAGAATGAGTTTGGCTCCGCAGAGCTGATGGGAAACAATGATGACTCAGAAGTGAAGAGCTGAAGGCTGCAGATCGTGATGACACAGCAGTCTGTGTCCTCAGAACACCAAAGGTTCACCGCAGGTTAAAATCCAACTCACGAAAAAAATGCTTCTGTCCTCTGTCAGTTTTTATGTTTCTCTTTATTAGCATAGTTCCACTTCTAGTAATGGAGGTAGAATTTGTAGTAGTAGCTGTAGTAAATAGGGTTCGTTTTTGTACACATAGTCGTCGTGGGTAAAGCCAGACAACTTAGTAGCAGTACTAACAGACCAGTTAAAGTACACTGTTCCAAAAAATGAAAGGAACACTTCAATCACACATCAGATGTTGGTGAACGAATTATTCAAGTTGAAAATCTTTACTGATGGGGAATGAAAGGGGCAAGTCAATGGCATCAATGCCTTCGTCATCCAGGAACTAGCTACACACTCTGGACACATGACGCCAGGCAGGACAAACGCTCTGAGGATTTAACCCCAACCCTAACAGCAGTCAGGGTACTGTTGGCTATGACATGGAGGTCTGTGTGACCCTCCAAGGATCTG